TAGCCCGTTTCGGTCGTATCGCCCTCCCCGTTTGGATTTTATTCGCGTTCCCCGCTAAATTTACAGCCGGCGCGCGGCCCTACTTTTTCAGATACGAGTCCCGGGGAGGAGTGGCGTCGCAGAAACTTGAGTAGGTAACGCTAAATATATGCGTCGCGTCGTTTTTTGCTGTTTTTTTCTCAAATTCCAGTTTTAGCCCTTTTCGACACTTCTGCAATCCCAGTTCATGACTTATTCGCGTTCCCCTCTACATTTACTCGACCACCGTCGAGTAGGTGTTACTATATACAGGCATCGAAATGCATGCGTCGAAGGTTCCTTTTTTTTTCTCGAATATAGCGTTCTGAACTCAGTAGGTAGGTCTAGGTAGATAGGTAGCAAGGCCGCCGGAATTTTTTTTTCACTTTTTTCTTTATTATTACTTTTCGATTTCACTTCAGCCTTATCATATTATAACGAACATTTTACGATTTTTTCGAGTTTCACCGTCGAAGGCTTATTCGCGTTAACCGCCAAATGTATAAGTCAGTACTTCGCTCGAGTCGAGTGCCGCGGAGGAGATCGGAGAGCGGACAGTGTCGTTATTACTATATACGGAAATGAAAATATGCGACGAAAAGTTTCAATGTTTTTTTCGCGTTTTTTTTTCGTCATATAAATATGATTAACGGAAACGTCATCAGCTTATCGAGTTTTGCTTCTAAATCGCTCTACTACCTACTAATTACTATAAACGACAAAAACTATTAAACGTGGCCGCCCGAATTGCTAGACACTCAACAAATCACGGCGACTATATTATGACTAGCACGGGCGCCCGAAATGTTATTATTTATATACATTTGATTTACGTCATTTGGCGTTTTCATGCCTTGACCCGGACGTCGCACTATCCGACGAAGTCAGATTGCCTACCAGGGTTGCTACGTCCAACGTCGAGGAAGGTGACTGACCTGCTAGACACCAAAACATATACCAATTTCTTTACTTAATTTTGCGTCAGAAGTCACACGTTGTCCGCTATCCGACGCTAGACCCTAGATCCTGCTAGACCCTAAAACATATTTTCGCGTAATTACGTCGAGGAAGGTGACTCGGTAATGTTTTAATGACACGAAATGTTTTGAATTTTTTTTCACGTATTTCATAACTTAATTTTGCGTTGTCGGTGACGAATGGACGCTGTCCCGGCCACACATTGCCTACCCGGATAACATAGATGACTGACCTGCTAGACACCAAAAAATCAGACGGTGGCTATATGCTTTGAATGGACAACCGAAATATTTTGAATTTTCATCACGTAATTTATCCTTTAATTTTGCGTTTTCGGTAACAGTAATGAACGTCGTCCGCGATTCGACGCAGTCGGATTGCATACCTGATGACGTTCCCCAGCCGTCGAGTATTGTCGGATTGCCTTCCAGGGTGACTACGACCAAAGTCGAGGAAGATGACTGACCCGCTAGACCCCAAATACTATTACTACGGCGAACGTAATTCGAGGTGACTGACCTGCTAGACACCCACAAAAATACAACGACGATTTATTTTTTTTTTACGGAATTTTGAATTTCCGGCGGCAGTAAAGAACGTTGTCGTCGAACGTTGTTGCTTACCCGGCTACCACGTCGAACCACGGTGGTCCTAACCTTATCAGAGTTCCTTATCACACACCCACCAGCTTGAGACTGATGACCAGACCAACAGACCACTGCAGCTTCCGAAATCGAAAACACTCATGACCGACACTTGGGGGTCTGGGGGTATCCCCCAGCGACGCTCGGAGAGCTAGTATATTTATAAATAATAAATTATAATCAATCTATCGTAGACCGTCACTACAACTTACCGCTACCGTTTTTTTTTTGTTCCATCAAACCAATCGATCTAATAATGAGATAATATTTCAGAAAACTCATCTGAATTCTTTAGAATGTCAATTTGAGATCGGTCAGTCCACATTTTAAGATTTATGCTTTAAATTCCGGATAGTCAACATTTGAAAATTCCAAAATTTCAAAATATTCAAGCTAAATTAATTTTTAGAGGTTGGGGTGGTGAAATTTGGAAAAGTGGACTTACAAATATCAAGTAGACATAATAACGAATTCAAATCTGTTTTAAAAAGTCTTATCGTATTAAAAGGTCGATCAGTATGATGGAATAAAAATTAGATGTTTTGGCTAAAATAACTGTTTAGTATATTATAAATTATAGCATTTCGTCAGGAACGTTTTTTCCCCGGCTAGCCCCCACATCGTGCCATAAAAAACTTCGTTTCATAATTATCTTGCCAATCTGCATTATTTATCCAAAACTTAGGCCTCAATTTTATTGTATGCATAATATGATTTTAATCAATGTGGTTCGAAGTATATTTGTCGACTTATAAAATAAAACAATATGCTTTACGTTCTTTAGTAATTTTAAAGCTAAGAATGCATATAAACGCACCATGCACAAATAAATGAAAAAGCAATTGACAAAGAAACATTAATACAATTTTTTTTTTTTTTGAAGAAACAAGCCATGGATTTTAATTACTCAATGAAAAAACGAATATTGATCCTTTTATTTTTGTACATAGGTACCTATAGTATATTGTATTATTGTACATTACGAGTTTTGAATTGCGAAACATTATGGATAATTTATTACTATTTTATTGAATTGTTTTAAATACTTTTAATGTATGATTGATCTGACTACCAGAGTTATACACTATACACTATATTAATAAATTATAAGAATTTTTATGATATCCAGTTGCGCATTTTTTTTTGATGAATTAAAAAGGGAATTTGACAAGCAAAAATACGTGGTTCGTTATGAACTATTTTAATATTATATTAGGTCCTAAACTAATTAGGAAAGAAAATAAATTTGGTTTTAAATAATGTACTTATTATCCTATTATATTTTTAGTTGTTTATAAAACTGTTATTCTTATAGCATTACTGGTAACGAATGTATCAAATAAAATATATAGTAATAATTATTAAATTATTGTGACTGTTGATGATAACTATATAGGTACTAATGTATATGTTTAAATAATATTATGTTATTATTATCCTTTTACAGTATACATGCAATTTATATGTTTAATATATGTTTATTATCAATTGCATTTGAATAATTTTTTATTTAATCGTCGTCGAAGAAACAAGGCAGATAAAATATACAGTGAAATAGTAATATTATCATATTATTATCATTGGTGAGTACCTATATTATTTATAATATTTATTTTTCACAAGTGCACATAATTCGGAAATTATTATTCATTAAAATTAAAACATTATAATTAAGTATTTTTTAAACTAATAATATTCATATTATATAATATTCTTTATCTAAATTATATAGAATGGTAATATTTTTAGGCAGGGCTTACATTTGAAAAAAAAATCCTTTATACGTTATTTATCATTAAAATGTTACACAGTTTTTGGGTTTATCGTTATTTAGAATAAAAACCTTATTTATAATATTTGATGAGTATATCATGAACTTAGTGGTAGTAGATGTAAGACAGAGAAATATTGCAACCAATTAACAAATAAGTATATACAAAGCTGGGCAAGTTAACTTTTTTTTTAACTCTCTAAGTTAAGTTAATTTAAAATAATTAAGTTAAGTTAAGTTAAGTTATAAGTTATTCGTATTTTTTTTCGTTAACTCGTTAAGTTAAAAGTTAACTTTGAAAAAAAAGTAACTTAACTTAGTGTAAAGTTGAAAATTGCTAATTTGCAAAAATAAAAAATTCCAGGCACATAACATGGGTTTATTAGATAGTTTTTCTTTACGTCCAAGAAAATTATTGGGGAAATTTAAAATAATACATCAAAGTAAAAACAAATTAAAAAAATTGCATTATTCTTCGGAAGAAAATTAACTTCATTTAGATATTTTTGAAGTAAAATTAACTTGAAGTCAACACGTTAATCTTAAAAAAAAGTAACTTATTAAGTTAAAAGTTTATTTGAAAAAAAAAGTAACGAGTTAATTAACTTAATGTTTTAAATTAATTTTAATTTTTAACTCGTTAATGCCCAGCCTTGAGTATATATACCTACGATCTGGACACCCTCTCAAAAAACATACAAAATACGCCACTGATAATATCTATGTACACGACTTATTTGTTTCTGGCAATATTATACATAGTCACACCGACAACACGTTTTCCATTGTGTATATACTATAAACTATTACAAATTATTTGTGTACCTAATATAGGTATTAGAAATTATATTACGATTTATTACTTATAGATAGGTCATAACATTGTTCATTGGTTCAAAAAGATATTTCGTACCTACCTAGATGATATTTTTCATTAATCATAATATTAATCATTGTATTTTACTGTATATATATTCCTTAGATTAAAAATGTTTATATTAATATTAGTATTTATAATTAGTTTTATTCAATTGCACACACTCCCAATTTGCACATAGCTCCTCTGTTTATTCATACCTATAACCTTGTACCTTGTACTGATTACTTCGTAAGTACCTACATAATGATAACATAATATATTATTATCTCAATATATAAACCGAAAAATGAAACCTTTGATGATAATCTTCTAGGAAACTACCGATAACTCGACCGATTTTCTTAAAATACAATCATATTTTTTTTTAAGAGTTGCGATTTTTTACGGGGAACGGAGTGCACCGGTTCAGCTAGTATTGTATAAAAACTATTTAAAATTAAATATATTTTTTTACTTTTATTAATAGCTATAGGTAGGTAGGTAAATACCTAATGATAAATTAATAATAAATCCACTAAATTATAATAAGTATTATGTATAATTACACTGTACATCACATTTCCCTTCTTGAGGTAACTATTTATTACTTGGAATATACAGAGTGATACAACGCAGATCGCCGCACACGTTCGGTATTGTATATTATTTTCTATTACGTTACGCAGCGGCAAGTGCGATTGTGTAGTGTGCTTTGCGACCAGTCCAAGCGATGACTCGGCCGATGCATCAAGACGCCGCAGCCGCCGCTGTTTTACGGAGGACTATGATGTTGCTACTTTTGCTGTTGATGTTCTCCTTGTCGTCGTTTCCATCGGTCACCGCCGATTGCCCTTACAAATGCATATGCAATGAAGAGCATATTGTGTACTGCCATGGACAGGAACTGAACCGAATTCCCGACCGCATACCTCCGGCTACCGAACTTCTGTAAGTCGACTGTACGGAAGATAATACCGACGTTGAAACGCCGGGTGTCGAGTTTTAAAATGTACTTAGTAATTTACTTTGTCCGAGTATTGCGGAATCTAATTTATCAATAATTGTGTTAACGCCTGCAGTGGCATTTTTGTTGATGCAAGGTGGGCATTTTAAGATTTTTTTTTACCAAACGCCGTTTAAATTGTATTTAAATGTGAACTATATTGTTATATAACAATTGTTACCTTTTAAAGATTAAATTATATAAATTTGAATCTAAATCAAAATAATTACATTTCAAAAATAATTTACCCCGTCCCCCCCACTAATAAATATTGCTCAAATACGTCACTGTGTTATGATCTTATGGATATTATAATTCGAGTGGCGTATACACCTTTTCGCGATCTCAAAATCGTATTGCATCGTATCACTCGTATCGCAAGGTTGTTTCGCTGGCGCACCCCCACTAATTTATATATTTATATAGAGTAATAAGTTATATTTATATTTGTAGCAAATTTGTAATATTTTTTTCTATTTGAGTTTGCAACAATTGTTTTACAGTTGACATTATTAAATTCTATGCCAATCATATTTTTGACTAAAATGATCACTCGAGATTATGTTTATACTGAATATTGGAAAAAAAATTTAGAGAGTCATTTTTTTCACCTCACTTTCATAATATAAAACTGGAGTGTTTTTATTTATACGGAAACGGAACACCAGGGTTCCTAAAAATGTTGGTCAAAGAGTTTTACTTTTTAAGGGCCGATTTCACCAACACAGTTAATCATGATTAAAGTTAACCGGAGTTTTAATCGGCCGAATTTGGCCGGTTAAATATCTGTTATCAGCCGATTAAGCGTTAACCGTGATTAACTGTGTTGGTGAAATCGGCCCTAATAAAAGTTTCTTGGGAAGTCGGTCTTAATATATCTCATAATTAGACTCGTATTTAAATGCCCTAAAAATATCAAAAAAATGTCCTTTCAAAAAATGAATTTATGACCTAAAAACTCTAAAAAATGCCCTAAAAATATCAAAAAATGACGTTTCAAAAATTGCATTATTTATTAAATAAATTCAAATTTAATTATTATTAAAAAATCAGGAATAAATAAAATTCTAATAAAAATTCTAAATTCTAAATTAATAAATTATATTACAATGTACAAAAAAAAATTAAAATTAAAAATTAAATTATATTTGCATTGCATTGTACAATAAGAATTTAGTACTTATATTTCAATTTTTTTAGTCATAATACGACAAATAGGTCTAAAATGTCCTAAAAAATTAAAAAATGCATTAAAACCGTCAAAAAATGCCCCAAAAAATTATTATGGTTAGATTGCGAAGTACTTGAAACATATTTGTAGCTTGGAAAGCATCGCGTAAGATATCCCAAAAAGCATAACATTAATATTATCGTTTGAAAAAAATGATTTGTGACAATCCGTGTAGTCACTAGTCACACTACCAAGTGAATGTACACCGAATGCTGCGTAAGTTTAACTTTTTAACTTTTAAGAAAAATGAACATGATAGGTTAATGGAAAAATTAAAATTTTAAAGTCTTTTTATGATAACAAGAGTATAATAACGCGTGCATACTTCGATATTAATGAAGACAATAATTATATAGGTATTGCACATGATCGATATCCATAGGTCCCTAGGTACAAAAAAAAAAAATAGAAAAACAAGTAAAATAATTTACATAACACGAGATCCAATAATACTATGAAATAATCATATATTTTGTATGATAATAATTATACAAATTGTATTGTATTCCAGGGACTTGAGCTTTAATAAAATCAGGGATATCGAACCAAAATCATTTACTTACCTTACACCAGCGGTTCCCAACCTTTTATAAGCGTGACCCCAATATTTTAAATTTAACTTTTGGCGACCCCAAAAAAAAAAAAATTCATAATTTATTGTAAACTCAACATTATTTTATTTATTATCATCAAATTGGTAAATATGTATATTTGTTGATTTATCTATCTATATTCTATTCTGAAATACTTGTATAAAATATATTATAAAAATGAATTTATTAATTTTTTCAAATGTAGGTAATATGGAATTAATTTATTATGAGCAAAAATATAAATTATATACCTGTTACTACGCTATGCGGGTACGACCACGCACAGCCTGCGACAGATCATTTAGATAATCTATTTTAAATTATTTTTTCCTCGATCATTATAATTCTTATTATTAGAATATTTCAGGATTTTTTTATTTTTTTTTAATAATATGTAAATTGTAAGACGTATGTAATGATTTCGCGACCCGCCATAAAAACCTCCGCGAACCTAATTTGGGTCGTGACCTGAGGTTGGGAATCGCTGCCTTACACAGTTAAACAAATTGTGAGTTACCTATAAATATTATAATGTCTGCACTTTTAAATGTATAAATAAACACGATTCATTAATTATAATCATAAAATATCTCATAATACCAGTGGATATGTGACAATAAACAAATTGTATTGTATTCCAGGACCTTGGGCGGTAATGAAATTAGGGATATCGAACCGAATTCATTTACTCATCTTACAGAGTTAAAGGACTTGTGAGTTATAATATACCTAATATAAACACTTTTAAATACATTGACGTTATAATTAATTATAATCCAGAATGTAAACATATTTTCAGACAGTTGAACTACAATAAAATAAGTAATTTGAAAATTGGTGCATTTGCCAACCTTTCGAAACTTCAGATATTGTAAGAATATAAATTAACAAATAGCTAGTGTTTATATATTTATTTATATAATGTTACTATCTATATATTATCTATATAATAAATTACTTAATTATTAGATATTTGAATGAAAATAAAATCGAAAACATCGAGACTGGGGTTTTTAATAACTTAACGAGTTTGGAATACTTATCATTGCATAACAACAAAATTCATAAGCTCGATTTGGAAATGTTTAAGGGACTTACAAAACTGGTTTTTCTGTAAGTATTAAACACATTTTTCATGTGATCGTATTGTGTAGCCAAATGAAAATGACATTTCATATTTTATAAATAGTTATTTACAAAACAATAAGATAAGAAATATTCCACCTGGGATATTCGATTCGTTAACGTCGTTGATTAAATTGTAAGTCATAATGAACTGCCTACTATATATATATTATTAATATTATAATAATTGTTATACTTTCAATATTTGAATTATATATTTGTCTAAACAAAACATTGATGCTTTATACTACAGAATCATTGACAGTAACCCGTTGACGTGTGATTGCAATATGAAGTTGTTTGTAAACGGGCTGAAGAAAAATTACCCCCACCAACATTTCTTCTTTGATGTCCAAATGAGTTGTTATTTTCCCGTAGAAATGAGAGAATTATCGTTGAAGGAAATAACCGAAACCGATATTCATTGCAGTGAGTAATGATTCTAATTAAATAAAAGACATAAAATATATATCATCGTAATATTATATGCTATAATCTACATAGTATAATATTGTCTGCAACTGTGCTGAACCTATTTATTGTTAAGCCGGCTATAAGTGAGTTTCGCCTTAATGGTTACTATTGTTTGATAGATTTTGTAAATCAACGAATTGATTTATTTAATAGGTTAAGTGCCATGTAGGGTCTATTGTCCTTTCATTCGACCTGTCAAAATGATTCATATCAAATTCAGTAGGTTTGTCTAAATAATTTTTTACATTACAGCGAAAACAAAGGCAATTATCACTTTTGACCACAATATGTTGATTAACTTTCTTACCTGAATTGAATGCACACATAAAAAAATTGATGGATCATAGAACTTTACGTGGCGATAATGGCAAGTGTAGGGTCATTAGATCCTTTATTCAATATTTTTGTATCGTAATATTACAATAGGTTTACCACTTATTATATCACTAATAAAGATTGTGATTATTATTATTAAAACTGACCAAAAAATTGTGCGATTACAAATCGATAACGATAGAAATTTTCCAAACATTTTCTATTTATACATTTTTCCATATACCTAATATATATATATTATATATATATACAAAATATAATATAAACTCCGGGGTATTTCAACGAACCATTTTACAAACTTGCCCTACAGACCACGCTCTGTTTGAATTCTATAAGAAAACATGTAAGATAAAGGTTTTGGAGACAATACTTGGCGACAAAGACAAGTACTGCATGACGGGCTTCAAAACTCTACGTGGCGCTATTTACAAGTCACATCGACGGGTCAATAGACCCACATGGCGCTTAAATTCAATTTTTTGGCTTGGCTCAAAACCATTTATAATGTGGTGATTTTGACCTATGTATTATGTATATTTTTGTACATACAGCGTCTCCGGATATTATCGTGGTACCAGAGAACAAGACGGTGTCGGTCGGTGAACAGTTACAACTCTCGTGCGAAGCCGTAGGAGACCCGGAACCTTTTATAACGTGGGCCAAAGACGACATCGATCTAGAACTTGGCCAAAGAGTTCAGGTAAGATTAGTATAAGATATATGGTAATTAATCTTTCGTGCGAACCCAGTGAAAAATCAGCTTATATATAATCGTACACTGTTGTTAAAAAATGTTCTATTAACTATTTACTTTATACTCATTGCATAGACTCAAACTTTTTAGGAATAATTTACCCAAAAATTTTTCATCAATAAATATTTTCTATTTGATGCAACTCTACTCCTGCATGAGGCCAATAAAGAATCTAGGACAAAATCCCACCACCAAAATCTCACTCGAACTGTTTAAATTTAGAAAAAGTTTGCTTAAAACAAATAATAATTTTTAGATTCTGAGCGGATTCGTGTTTTTTTTTTTATTGTGTATGTCATCACCTTTTAGGCAGGGCTTGAAACCGATTTTCGATACCGGTTTTGAATACCGGTTTAAACCGTTAAAAACCGAAACCGAAATCGAAACCAAAACCGAAATCGGAAAAAAATAATACCGGTATCCAAAACCGAAACCGAAATCGGAAAAAATCGATACCGGTATCTGAAACCGAAACCGAAAACGGAAAAAATCAATACCGGTTTCCGAAACCGAAACCGAAATCGGAAAAAATAAATACCGGTATCCGAAACCGAAACCGAAATCGGAAAACATAAATACCGATATCCAAAACCGAAACCGAAATCGGAAAACATAAATACCGATATCTAAAACCGAAATCGAAATCGAAAAAATAATACCGTTTTTTGAAACTTAAGAAATAACATGATATCCGAAACGGAAGTCGAAAAATTATAACATTAATATCTAACATTTAAAAAGTTCTACGCATTTAAAATAAACCTATAGACTATAATTGAATTTCTGTTTAAAAGCTATGAATAGTATAATTTATAATGCATATGGTAGAAAATAATAAATATCGTGTATATTATGTAAATTTGTTCTATATCCTTTGTTGGATATATCCTTCTATCATACAATGTGATCAATATTAAATATAATATTATAACTTATAAGATATAATTATTTATTATAACATCATGTGGATGATGGCAAAGCTGGGCAAGTTAATCAATTTTTTTAACTAGTTAAAGTTAAGTTATCCTTAAATAAAATATAACTATGCTAAGTTAAAGTTCATTAGTCTTTTATAAATTATTATATTAAATTATTAATATACTGTATTAATACGTCTGGGGTAATTGTTTACTCCGTGCGCAAAACGAAGAATTAAATTAAATTAAATTTTTTTTACATGGAGTTGACATAGTATTTTTGTTGGTATATTATTAGTTTTTATAAATTATCATATAATATATATTATATATTATTATTTATTTTAATAGTTTATAATATTTATATTGCCGTTTCCATGGCGCGTTTATAATAATATTATTAAAAATTATTAATTTGGTCCATTTATTAGACCTGTAGCTTAGGTCATGTGCTATGCCTTCTTTTTTTTTTACTTAGTTTTTTACTGGATTCTAAAATATTAACTCGAAAGTACCTACCTATATAGATATTTATATTATTATGTATACTTTCTGAGTTCTGCAGTAATACAATTTATATTAATAATGATTAATGGTGCCTAATATATTATATTATTATAATTAATATTTTATAATATAATAATATATTATTATGTAAGTAGGTCTAGCTGCACTGGTTCAGTAGTCTTCGTCTGCGGGCACCCGTATGTTTGCATAGGTAATTTCACAGGGTATATAAAATATAAATTATTAGACGTATAATATATTATTTGTTGGGCAATTAGGTAAAAAGTAAAAGCGCATTATAGTAATGTAGAAAACGTGCTTTTGCTCTTTGCGGCATCAGCGGACTGTATTGAATAATGTATAAAAAGTATTACAAAACGTACAGGGCACAATACATGACTAAAAGATAATAACATAACCTCACATATCTCGTTGTAACCGCACTAGGTCAATCGAACAAATTGAGAGTGATAAAGTATAATGATAAAATAACAATAGTAATAAATAATATTGATAACAGAATTAACGTTTAAACAACAAGGATTAACATTTAATTAACACCGCCCACCTTGAGCGTCAGTCTCAAAAAAAGAGAGAAAATGTTCAGGTAACTAGGATTAACTAAGATTCTAGAGGTAACTTGAGAAGTTTGGTAATGGGCCTCTTGTAAGTGGAATCTGCAGTGCGGATGGTGACAACTCTCACCAGGTTGTCATGTGTGCTTGGATGTGTGGCGATGACTCTAGCCAATGTCCATTGAAGAGGTGAGGTGTTGTCGTCCTTGACAACGACAAGATCGTCCACTTGCAGATTAGACTGTGGTGTACGCCATTTGAGGCGTTGTTGTAGAGTGTTGAGGTATTCGGAAGACCACTGTCGCCAGAATTGCTGTTGCTGCTGTTGGAGTAACTTCCAGCGGTTAAGACGGTTACAGGGTGTGGTGAGATAATCAAGACTGGGCACAGCAAGCAAAGGTTCTCCAATCAAGAAGTGTCCAGGTGTAAGTGCAGAGTAATCACTAGAGTCCATCGACATAGCACACAGTGGTCTGGAATTCAGGATCGCCTCAATCTGGCAGAACAGTGTCTCAAGTTCTTCGTGCGTGTAGACCTGATGGCCAGTGATGCGCTTCAGAATAGACTTGCAGGACTTGATGTTGGCCTCCCATATGCCACCAATATGTGGGGCAGCTGGTGGTATGAACTGCCAGGTCATCTCACGCTGTAAACAGTAACCGCTTACCTTGTCTTGTACATTTGTAGACCGAAGGAATGTGTACAGTTCACGCAGTGTGTTGTTGGCACCAACAAAGTTTGTCCCATTGTCACTCATTATGATGGAAGGGTACCCACGTCGGGATACAAATCGGCGCAATGTTGCAAGAAATGCTTCTGTACTTAAATCACTTACCACCTCGAGATGAACAGCCTTTGTAACAAGGCAGACGAAGAGTGCTAGGTAGCTCTTGGTGTAAACATGCGTGCGGCCTCGCGGCAAGCGCGTAGTAAACGGCCCAGCATAGTCAACTACACATTGTCTGAAGGGTTTTGATATGGTGATGCGTGAGGGTGGTAGATCAGCCATCATCTGTTCGCTTTTGAGTGGCCGAAAGCGATAGCAGCGTACACATTGATGGATGATCCGTTTGATTGTACTACGTCCATGTATGATCCAATAACGTCCACGTAGAACAGCCATGGTTACGTTCAGACCAGAGTGTAGGTTGAGGATGTGCTCGCGCCTTACAATCAACAGTGTTAGATGATGCCTCTTGGGTAGGATGATGGGGTGTTTATGGTCATATGGTAGATCAGACTGACTCAAGCGACCACCAACTCGAAGAAGACCGGCTGAATCTAGAAACGGATTTAGACTTTTTAATGTACTGGTGGATTTCAACACGGTGTTCTGGCGTAGATCATTCAGCTCAGCAGAGAATTCTAGTTCCTGCGCAGATCTAAGCCAATATTGCAATGCTTGCTTCATCTCAGGCACACTGATGAATCCGTGGACCCGGTTCTCAGCGCTCGTTCGGCAGTTTTTCATGAACCGTAAGAGATAAGAGGTGATGCGTAATAAACGATCATAGTCGGAGTACCTGGTTATAATATCAGAGGTCACGACAGTTGGTGCGGCAGTAGTAGACACTGAACGTTCCTCTGGCACAGTTGATGTAGTCAGCAGAGGAGTACTGTTGGGCCAACTATCTTGATCAGGCAGCCAGGTCGGTCCGTGCCACCACAGGTCACATTGGATTAGTTGGTCACCTGTCAAGCCTCTTGACGCGACGTCTGCAGGGTTGTCACCAGATCGAACGTGTTTCCAAGTGGCATCTGGTACGAGCTGCTGTATCTGAGTCACGCGATTTGCTACAAATGTGGTCCATCTATACGGTTCGCTGGCGATCCAATGGAGAGCAATGGTGGAGTCACTCCACAAGTACACACGGGTTAATTGAACGTGCAGTGTTGGCACTAGCTCGTGGACAAGTTGAGCGAGTAGGAGAGCACCACACAGTTCGAGTCGAGGAACTGATATTTTTTTAGTGGAGCCACTCGTGTTTTGGACGCCAACAGAGTAGTAGTGCAGATGTCAGCTGTGGCACTGACATAGACAACGGCGGCATACGCAAGTTCAGAGCTATCACAAAATCCGTGCAAGGTGTACGAGATGACCGGCAGTGATGAGAGGTTGATGTAGCGTGGTATGTCGAATGTGTCCAAGTGGGTGTATGACAGACGGTGTGCATTCCACATGGAGGTCAAGTCTCCCGAAACCTTTTCATCCCACGCAACTTTTTCTTTCCACAACATTTGTAGTATGAGTTTAGACACGACCACCAAGGGAGCCAACCACCCACAAGGATCGTAAACACGGGCTACCTCACCTAGGAGTTGTCTTTTGGTTAGCTGTTGTGCTGCCTTGGTCGCGTCTGTCTGAATGGATAACGTATCCTTTGTCGCATTGTATGACACACCCAAGAGCTTAATGTCCATCTCCAGGTGGTCCTGCAATGGCAGTCGCATGACACAATGTTCGGCTGGAACGCCCTGTAACACGGAAGAACAATTACTAGCCCACTTTCGTAGCGATAGTCCACCTCGATTTAATAGACTTATGAGTTCCTGTTGTAGCTCGACTAACGCGTCTGCAGAATCACGTCCAGTCATGACCTCATCAACATAAAAGTCGTGACGTAGAACGTGTGATGCTGTGGGATGTGAAGCCGCCTCGTCATCAGCTAACTGACGTAGTGTCCGGATGGCTTGATAGGGTGATGTCACGAGGCCATAGGTGATAGTATTGAGTCGATATTGTTGAATCGGATCAGATGGGTCAGCACGCCATAGTATACACTGATACTTCCTGTCGTCAGGGTGCACCAGAATTTGCCTGAACATTTGTTTGATATCGGCGCTGAAGACGAATCGTGAAAATCTAAAGTTTATGAGGACACTCACAATATTGCGTTGTAATTTTTGACCCTTATGTAGATGGTCGTTGAGTGACCGACCGTGGCTCATAACACTCGATCCG